GTGACGCGTCTGCTCGGGTCAAGAGCTCGGCCTAGAAGTCGGGGGAGCGGAGCGCGCGGCCCGACGCAGCGGGCTGGGCCCCAGACATGCGCAGAAACACTCGGAGACCACGCGGCGACGGATCGAGCGCGGATTGGTCAGCAGACTGCTGCAATGCAGGCTGCAGACACGCGGTCGCCTCGTGAAAGGGTACAATGTTCACTGGCGCCCCCTGGGCCGCCCCCAGCACCGGGGGGGGGGGGGGTAGCAACGTCACAACTCACAACAAGTCGGCGCGCGAATCGGCAGCGCCGGCCCGGGGACTCCCGTGCCGGCCGGCGACACACGTGGTTATTGCATCATCGAGACGAGGCAACGAATAACGCAGGCGGAGCGCGCGGCCCGACGCAGCGGGCTGGGCCCCAGACATGCGCAGAAACACTCGGAGACCACGCGGCGACGGATCGAGCGCGGATTGGTCAGCAGACTGCTGCAATGCAGGCTGCAGACACGCGGTCGCCTCGTGAAAGGGTACAATGTTCACTGGCGCCCCCTGGGCCGCCCCCAGCACCGGGGGGGGGGGGGGTAGCAACGTCACAACTCACAACAAGTCGGCGCGCGAATCGGCAGCGCCGGCCCGGGGACTCCCGTGCCGGCCGGCGACACACGTGGTTATTGCATCATCGAGACGAGGCAACGAATAACGCAGGCGCACCACACAGCAGCAGATCGACATTCGCAAAACTGCTACTGGCAGACAGACATTCACTTAGGTCCAATGAAATCGACTCCTTTGGACAAAAAACAGCTTTTAGTGCCACGTTGACTACAAATAGAACACAAAATGTTTGACGCAGTTGCGGCAATACTGTCAATAAATATTTCTTTCGCGCCAGTAATAGAGTAAAACCATATGAAGGAATATAATACCGGTGGGCAAAATAACTTCACAGCAAACGAAGAGTTACCTGTTACTCCACAAGTCACCAGTCACCTCGTGGAGTTCCTCTAGTCCCCAGCCTTACAGAACCGGTTTAGGAGGGAGAAGAGGGACCCGAAAAGACAAAAAACGCTGGTTCATCAATTGTAATATGTAATATTACATTAATATGTAATATGTGTAAATAGGAAAACCTTTATATTGCCAAAGGAAAACTTTTTTCCTATATATGGCAGCTATTCAATTCAATATGGGCCGCGTATTTACAAATTGCAACCGAGCTCCGCCGTAGGGTATTTTATTTCCGCCGTAGTGTATTTCACTTGGGGGATTTTCTACCATACATCTGCCTGAGCCTAGGGTAATTACAATTTGTCGGCGACGTTAAAAAATGATGCACCTTTTTTCGCAGTATAGGATATCGCATGTGCATATTTCTGCCTTTTTGGGTGCGCTTTATCGGTTTTTCGTGAGTAACTCGCGTAAAAACCGTCCGATCGCGACGAAACTTTCAATGCCCCCGATTTTATCAATTTTACACCTACCCTGAAAATTTCATGACCCTGACCCAAATGACCTTTGACCTGTGACCTATTTCTCGAGACCATGTTTGGCCCGAGTCGCGATTCGGCGTATGTCGGCTCGCATTAGCCGCGCGGTTGCAGTTTTCACGTGGTTTCAAGCGTTGAAACATGTGATATGATGCTGGTCCCATGCACTAGGGTGGATGTCGAGGTCACCTGAAGGTCAGGTCAGCTCAATGACCTTTGATGACCTCGGTTCCTTTTTCGAGTTTTACATGTTTCTAGGCTAGTTTTTTTAGCTGATTTCGAATTTAGCAACCATTTGAACATTACAGGGGGTGTAACGAAATTATCCGGACACCTTTCTTCCCGCTGTAATTAAAAAGCAAAACAATCTGGTACTTTTTCTTTTAACTGAGCTTGTAGGCTGTAGCCACCTTTCATAAAAACAGTGATGAATGTTCTGGAGCATTTCAGCCAATGGATTCTCCAGCACACTGGCTTTGATGCGGACCACCGCCGTCTAAACCTGTGCCTGCGGTTGAGCAGTGCTTATGGCGGGTGGCTCTTCATACACCTCCTGCTGAACAAGAGCCCACAGGTTTTCGATTGAATTGGGATCGCGACTTTTTCCAAGTCATAAGCGTTAGCCCAGAATGATTGAAGGTTCTATCGGCATCACTTCCCGTTCTTTTAGGGACTTTTAAGTAGCGCGCCGCCCCGAATGAAGACAGCGTGGCTTGAATCAGGCATCAGTGCGCGTTCAGAAACCGTGCCCTCCTATACCGTCTGGTTGAGCGCCTCCAATCATGCTCCACCACCTTCCCTGGAAAAGCTCCACCCTTGCCTATTGGGCAAATTGCAAAATATAAGGGACAAAAACACAAAACAAGACAGATAAAAACAGAGCAAAATTAACTCATTACCTAATGAAATTCATGCTTGAGCAAAAACATAGGTAATAGGCCTATCTATGTCAAAATAGAGTGAAAGATTAAAATCAACCTGACCAGGCCTTACGGTCTGACCTGGTCCTAACCACCTTACTTCGCCTAACTTAACCCAATTCAACCTGCCTACCACAACACCTGCAGAGGTACCTTCCTGGAAAAATGACGCCCAGGGAGGTGACTGTCTAACTTATTGGAATACTACCATGATTGCTTGTCAAAATGTGTGTCATCATGCTCTTGTTTGACAAGTGATGTATAATAAATGTGATATTCAATAATTATCTCCTGACTGCTGACTGTTAAGTGATAAAAATATTCAAATAATCAGGGTACAATGCTGTGCATAGTGCACACTAATCATGTTGTTTTTGTGTAGGCCCTCTGCACATTGTTGTGTGCACTGGCTGCTATGTGCACCTTAAGTAAAAAAGTAACTGGTGGTACATGACAAAAGGTTGTGCAACTGTGAAGTTCATGCCCTTGGTCAAGCTGGTGCCAAATGCCTATAGCTATAGTATAGCAGGATCACTGATCAGTGAGGGTTGTAGACATGCTAGCTACATACATTGTGCATTGAAGATATTGGCACAAAGTTCATCCGTAATTACTATGCTTAACCCTATTCCTGGCGGGCTCCGCCGGGACAAGAAACTGGCGGGGGGGGGGGGCCGATTCGGCCCCCCCTTCAGATCTCAAAAACTACACATCGCAGCGACAAACGGCGAACGGCGTTTGATAGGTCGTTTAAAGATCTACAACTTTTACATAAAACATTTTCAGGTCAGGTCAATATTGAGGTCACCAGAGGTCATCAACGATAAAATGTTTTGGAATTAGTTACCTATATAACTTTTAAACTAAGAAACATAGAGACATAAAACCAATACATTTTTTGTTGCTCTCGCCGAGGCGATGCGAAATAAGTATGTGATGACCTTCACAGGTCAATTTGAAATTTGACCTGAGGTCAAGGTCAGGTCATTCATCAATGAGGTTGTGGGGTATGGTCATGCTGCATACCAAACGACGCGCCTTGACCAGGCGAGCAGTTTGGTACCACTTACAAGTCTTTAGCACCATCATGTCGTGATTTATTGACAGAAAAACGATTTATGACGTCACATGACCTCAGATGACCTTTGCCGGTGCCCCTGTCAATTAGCGGCACCAGGATCATCACCGATGAGATAATCTTCCATAATACTGAAATAATTGGGTGGTTTTGACTCGTTTACACGAAGCAGGAGGCGTTTCAATATTTTCCCATAGGTTTGCAATGTAAAGGTCACGAGTCTGGCCTGACCTCAGGTCACAGATATGAAAATTCTGAGATATACAAATTGCACACACTGGCACCCAAACTAAAGCCTGAAGAGAAGAAATTGATCGGTCAAAAACTCTAGCTCTGGCGTGATTGCAAACTTTTCTGAGGTAGGGTCACCAAACCGCCTCTGGTGACCTGACCTGAGGTCAGATCAACTCAAAATTTTCAGAAATGTTGCGCAAAAGCCTTTTAGGAAAAGTCAGAAAATTTGAACTTCCTAGCTCAAAGCGTTTGGGAGAAATAACCAAAAAACCTCAGGGGGGGGGGCTCCTGAGGCCCCCCCCCCGCCAGGAATAGGGTTAACACCTAATGTAAGAAGCGACATAAATGCCCAGATGATAAAACTCTCTGGTCAACATCACACAAATTTATTGACAAACTTTGCAGGTACATATTTACATTCATGGCAAAATATACTTTCGATTTGATTCAGAAACTAGTTGCTAGTAAGCTTGCATTTTTGAAGGTACAACAACGACCATATATTGAATCATAAAAAACCTCATGGCATTCATCACATACCTTTTTACCGAACAAGTACCTGGCTACCATGCAATGATTCTAAAAATTTCCGCAATCCATCTATATCTCAGCTGACACAATGAATTTGAAATACCCTAACAAAACCTATAACTGTACATAAAAAGAATGCAATACTACAAGAACTATGAATTTCTGAAGTTATTCTCACATGCTGGAATGTTGAAACTCTACTTTTGTCGTCCATTTCCACGTTTGATTGAGCCATCATATCAAACTGTTTTCGTTCTTCAGTCACAAGCTTTCGCACAAATCTTGAATTTTACACATCATCTTGAACCATGCTCCAGTCTTTCCAACAAGGTACTATGTAACATCAAAGCAATTTTGATTTGTTACAACAGCTTCAGATCATGATAGGCTTGAGGTTGGTTACACCATTTGCCAGACAAATCTCTACAAAATGTGTATCAATTCCCAAACTAAGTAATTGATCATATCAGTATTACAATTATGTTTATATAAAGAAACTCAAATAATCCATAAATTGTTATTGAAACACTCCCACTTCAAGAATTCACAGCAAATAACAGTACAAGTACAGAAGCAAACAAACATTGCGCCAGATTTCGTATGAAACGCGCCATCGTCCTGAAGTTTCTACCACAGACGGTAGCTCAACCGCAGCCGTAGTGCGAAAACCCCTGCCCACCTTACCCCACGGCGGAGCTCGGTTGCAATTTGTAAATACGCATATGGGCCATGGTAGCAAATATGTGATGCAAAATAGGCAAAATAGACGTGACAGGGCCGTATAAAGTAGACGCTTGGAATTTAAATTGAGAATAATTGCAATTGAGGCCTAGTATGTGTGTGTTTTGACATACGATTGCATTTTCAGCTGAAAATATAGAGCGAAGATGAGTGAAGACACCGTGAATTCAAAGTATGTACCTATTTGGTAATATTACTAAGTGCTCGAGCGAGGAACATATTGAATATAATTAGATAAATAAAAGAAGTTGACCTTTTCCTCGACATCAAAAATGTAAAAAGCCGAATAATATATTTTAAAAAAACGGTGAGCTTTCGGCCACTGGCCTTTATCAAACCAACGTGATAACAATGTTAAAAGACGATCCTGTGAATAATCTGGCTGCCATTTTTCAAAAACCGAAGATCGTGATATTTTAGAAAAGGCGCTACTCATAAGGGCAAACTATTTGATCGATCGATTGTCTACATAGTGTCCGATGTACGTAACATACATAATATACAATTGTACACGTAGCTGTCAAACACACATCGTATGGAAGGTATGTACACTAACGCCGATGTACATCACACACATAGCAAAATAATATACACATACACATATTAATCGATTGAGTTGAAAAGGCTACACGCTCACAAGATACACATGATACAGGCGCTTACATGATTGGCCACGACGAAAGATTTGAGTTTATGTGCGGGCGGTTTGCTTTTATAAGTAGGGATTCTGCGATTTTTCTGTCCGGGTGGTCTTTGGAGCGATAAAGGACGCGAACCTGAAGAGGAAGGGATGATTTGTTTAGCGGCGCGCCGGGGTGGTGCTCACGGAAGTGGTCTCCCATCGGGGTCCCTTCGGATGCGCTCAAGGCGTCTCGTAAATGTTCGTTAAATCTTAGTCGAACAGGTCGTTTTGTCTCGCCAATATATGTGCCGTCGTCACCCTTTCCTTCACACAACTTACAATTTAGCCTGTAGACGACGTTCTTCTGTGTACAATCACCTGAAAAATCTGATTTACACATGTTGCATCGTGGGCCTCCAGGGCAGATAGGTTTAGATAGTGATGATCTAACCAGTTTGTTTCGTAGCTTTTGGGGGTTCCTCCATGCTATCCTGACAGCTAAGCCAGATTTCCTAACTTTACTTTGAATTTTGCATAGCAGTTCTTCATCTATGTACGGTAAACATAAGAAGCCATCTTCGCCCTTGTCTCGACTAACTTTACCCATCCTGGATCTGGACCCTTGCTGTTTGACCTCCCACAAGAGCCTTCTAAGAACTTTCTCTGGGTACCCATTTTGAACCAACAATGTCCAAATCTTGTCTATACTCGCCCTCTCTTTAGCACTGCTCGAAGAGTTCCTGATCGCTCGCCGAAACTGACTACGGACTATGTTTTGTTTAGTAGACTTCGGGTGGGCTGATTTATAGTGCAGGATGATCCCTGAGTTCGTAGGTTTTATGTAAAGACTAAAGTTCGGTTTCAATCTTCGTAACCTGGCCCTGGGTCACTACTGTCACTAAGGTATCTAGGAAGGCCACACCCGACTTTGTACCGGAATGCTCCATGGTAAAGCGGAGTGTCGGATGAAGCGAGTTTAAATGCGACAGAAAATCTACTAAAGCCTGCTCTCCATGGGTCCACACGCCTGCGTAATCGTCAATGTACCGAACCAAAAAGGACGGTTTCTGATCCAGGTTTTCTAACGCTTTGCGCTCAAAACGATCCAGAAAGAGAATGGCTATGGGAGGGGCACATGGATTGCCCATAGCGATCCCTAGTGTTTGTCGGTAAAATTTATCATCAAACCTAAATACGTTCTTGGTGAGACAATGCTGAAGGAGATGTTTAATATCATCCTGGGAGAGACCGAAGGTATCCACCTCATCCTGGTGAGCCTCTAACTTCTCCATCACCGCATCGATATCACGATCTTCGGTTTTTGAAAAATGGCAGCCAGATTATTCACAGGATCGTCTTTTAACATTGTTATCACGTTGGTTTGATAAAGGCCAGTGGCCGAAAGCTCACCGTTTTTTTAAAATATATTATTCGGCTTTTTACATTTTTGATGTCGAGGAAAAGGTCAACTTCTTTTATTTATCTAATTATGTACCTATTTGTTGAATGCCGACTGGGGCACCAGTTTGGTTAGCATTTCAGTTGGGCAAACTAGGCGGCGGGAATCAAAATATGGAGGCATCAAAATATTGATTCTAGTGGGCGGAGCTTTGACCATATATGGGCATAGAATCAATATTTTGATTCAATTTGGGACATTCTCACCTTCAGACGACCCGTTACGGCGGAAATAACCCCCATGACGGCGAGATTTTTTGACAAGTCAATACAAAAAACTTCCCCGCTTCAATTTTTCGCTGCATGGCTATCAGCCGTTTGTCGCGCGTACCTTTACGAATGGCATAAAGATTTCGCCGCCATAATTAAACAAAAACGTGATGTTAAAACTTGCTCTGTTTATCATTAACGACGAGCCTTTGCAATTTTTTCATAATTTTGTCTCAAAGAAAATAAAAAATGCGTTATGTAGTTGTATAATTCATTTATAAGAAATATTCTTTTTCTTTGTACTGTAGTTGTATAATTCATTTATAAGAAATATTCTTTTTCTTTGTATCTAGCCACGATTTCCGGTTCCCGCCATTTCGTGCCGGCGTCGTGGGTGTTCGGATGGAACGTAGTGCTCCCGGTTTTATTTTTTTAAAGCGACCTTTTCTGAAGTGTAAGTAACAATGGATCATATTTTAAGATACTTTGAAGTGTGTTTTTCAATTTCAGGCATGTGATCTTAACGTTTCTTACCGAAAACTTGTTTTAAGAGATGGTTTTAGGAACATGGCGCGGTAGCGACGTCAGCGGCGCGGTACGCCTTCTCACTCTTCTATTGTCTTTTTAAGCTATATTTTTTTTGAAAATGATGTCTTAGGTGTAGTATTTCAGTGAAATATGATGTCCTTTAAAAGTTACGGTATAAATTAGTTACAAGAAGCCTAGTGTGTTGTCTCACATGATAGAATTGTTGGGTGGACTATTGGGTGGACTCATGAAATTGGGGCAGTGCATGTCCAGTATTTTACATAATTTGGATGTTTTAGCCTCTGCTTGTGTCTCACTCACCCAATTGCTGCTACAACTTTAACTTGTAGCATTTAAATTTTTTAAGGGCAACTAGGTTATCGACTTGTTCCAAGTTAAGATTGATAGGTTGAGGTCGTAGTGCATGTTCGTGTTTGCCTTATCTAAATAGTAGGTATGTAAGCTTGGCTTGTAATTGCTTCGCCCATTTTTGCTACATATTTAATGATGCTTATTTTAAGTGTAACAAAAGCAAGTTGCTGAATGGTGTAAGCCATATTTACGTTATGCGTGATCTTCCAGAAAATTATGTGTCTAATGTACGTCAGTCCAGGGAATGCTGGATAGTTAATGTTCAGGATTGTCCATGCCAAAGTTAATTTTAGAGGCCAGTTTTATCAACACAAATAGCTGCCTGCTGGAATTTTTTGCCTAAAGACTGCTTCACATATGGAGCATTAACATGATGGGCACGTAAACGGATAGGGCTGTACCGTTCATGCTCTGTATGTGAAGTAACTTTTAGACAAAAAAAATCCAGCAACCACCTATTTTTCTGTTGGTACAACTGGCCTCAGATCTACTTTTTTGGCAGAATTTATATAACTGCATGAGATGACAGTTGTTGGCGCAACTGGTGGCGTTCATTGGAAATTTAAGTGACATTAAGTATTTAATTTTTTATTGAATATATTCTAAAATTAATAGTTGCTGAACAAGTAGAATAATAACACATATAGTTTCCTAATTTATTGCCCACAAATGTCCTAATTATTGTGTTCTGTTGTTTGCTGCAGGTCAACCAACCAAGGATCAAACACTGGTCGTTGCGGGGATCGGCTTCAGAGGGTCAAGGATGGCGTCTTGAATCGCTGTTCAGTCGACAGGCAACTGTATGACAACGCCATCCCTGTCAACCAGAGCGTCGACCGAAGTAGGGCGGCGTTGCGCGGACCTGGCCGCACCCGACCAACCGGTGGAGTACCTGACTCGGGCTGGGCGGAGACTACCTACATCACGACCTTTTGAACTTTGATCTCGTGGCGAGAAACAATATGACGTAAGGAAGTGTGTATGTGGCTGGCGGGGCCGAGGGTGAAATGCGCCACGTGTTTATCCTGCCGGATGACGACAGCGTCACCAACCTGTCAAAGAACGAGCTGGTGCAGCGCGTGATGACTGCTATCTCGTCCCTAGAACCGGAGTAGAAAAACGTGCGCATAGCCCAAATGAAGCGAACCAAAACACAGACAGGACTGATAGCTTTTCGGTCGAGAATGTTCTGAAGATGCTCATCAGTAGACCAATTGGTGACCCTTTTCGGTGGTAATATGGGATCTTGTGGTGTTCCAAAGCGACCTGCTTTGGGTGTGGACATAAGTGGCTCAACCTGACAGGATTGATGTTTTAGGTAGCCGTGCTAATCATAAACCCTATATTGAGTGTATCTGTACAAATTTTGTTTATATTTATTTCATTTATTTGATTCGAAACCGAAAATTCCTCTTTGTAATTAGGCAACATCGAGACGTTGAGGTCATTCTCCAGACGTTTATTTGTTTTTCTTACCTGTCCACGGTATGTCTTATTGGTTAGGTCTCAGTTTCAAATATTATTAACTGCATGTTTTGCAAATACGTAGCCATATTGAATAAGAGACGTGTCCTAAAAGTGAGTATTGCTTTGCATGGGATGTGAGCATCAACGACAGGGCTTTGTGATGGCAAAAGTGTGGAAATTGCAGGGATCGTTGTGAAATGTGTTATGAATATCATCGTTTTATTTGCGACTGCAAATACATCCGTGTATATTCTCATTCAAATTGTGCAATTTGTGCAACGGGCTTGAGTATATTGTTTGGCGAAATATCTCTTACTGTACTCCACAGAAATGGGACGGGATACAGATGCGTAGAAACACATTCATGAACACGTGAAAGACGATAAGTTAACTTTTTTACTCTATCAATGCTACAAAGCAGGGATGTGGAGCCGTGAAAATGTCAGACGGCTTCGGCTCCGGAGGGGAAAATCGGCTCCAGCTCCGGCTCCGGCTCCGAGTAAAATGGTCGGGCTTCGGTTCCGGCTCCGACTCAGTACAACCCCTATACAAAGGTCAGCACGGCTCCCTTCACGCATTCCCTCGAAGGCTTGCAGCTTTGAGCAGGGAGCCAGGGTGAGTGCTGAAAATCCCTGGTCTACCGTGGGAATAAGGTCTAGAAAAAAATTACACGATCCTGTGCTGATAATATCTTCATGAATTTATTGAATTTGCATTATTTGCACACAAGAAACATTCCATAAATCAATTTGAAGAGTGAAGTACGTCTGCAGAAAGTCAGTTCGCAGAATCAATATATTGATAAACCAGCTGATTTCAGAATCAAAATAATGATTAGCCAGCTGTTTGCGGAATCAAAATATTGATTCTCGCCGGGATTAGCCGCCGTGATGAATCAATATCTTGATTATCTTCAAGACGCTTTCCTAAACTAACCAAAGAGGTTAGGGCTATTGTTTCGTGCCTGGCGGGTAGCTTCAACGTTGTTCTTCATTTTGTGAAGAAACTATGTTGAAATTATAGCCGGTTGCTGAAGAATTGACGTTTCTGTGATGGTCTGCACGTATGCCCATATATGGTCAAAGCTCCGCCCACCAGAATCAATATTTTGATGCCTCCATATTTTGATTCCCGCCGCCTAGTTTGCCCAACTGATTTAGCAGGGGCACCAGTTTGGTTGGTGGTCGGGTGCTGATAATAATATTTATAATAACAATAATCTTTAAATTTTATCAGTTTCAAATTAAAAGCATTGCAGCTAATGTGCACTTAATAATTTGTTTAGCATGTTACCAATTTCATTTTGAGTTTACTGGAGGAACGTGGGTACCTGATAGGAGCTAGAAAAGTCCTAAAGGTCATGAGCTCGATGAGAACGGTTCCCTACAGGCCAAGTGGCCTCTGAATTCTGATCAAATTAAGGTAAGGTAAGGTATTTTTATCCTGATCTCAATCTGGGAGATATGGGTAATGGTCAGGCAGGCGTAGCACGAGCTGCCATATGCGACACCATAGGACAGGTTGTACCGACTCAGACACCGACACCATATGGTCGGTGTACTAGACTGGAAAAAATGCACGTTATGCCGAATATGTCCGGTGTAGTAGCGGCATTGCGCCAAAAATTTCAGCGCACGTCTGGCGTAGCTTCGCACGCACCGAATTCAGGGCGTGGCGGCGGCTAAATTTTGCGACGCAGGGCGGCCGCAAAATTTTTTGGCGAAAGACAGTCACCAAACTTAGTTGGCACGCTGGTCACTCTAGCAGCAAATCTGGAGCAATTTCGGGACTAGACGTCCCCGCCCCCGGTCATCGCATGCTTGAACTGACTAGCTTCCCGTTCCCTGAGTGTTCAGCGGAGGAGTGACCACCTATGTGAAGCCTCAACCCTCGGAGTGGAGATAGGTAGGTATGGTCGTCACGCGCCATGTCCGGGAGCTGTCGCGACGGAGGACAGCCGCTGCCCACCCGCACCCGGACCCCACGCCTGGCCACGACTCCCTGGCGCGCTGGGGGTCGGTGACGCTGTCCCAGCTGAGGACCGGCACATCACCGCTGACCCGCGACACGCTCTACAAGATTGGCCTGGCAGCCAACGACGAATGCCCCGCGTGCGGGGAGCCCGACAGCGTGACGCACCTTCTGACCGATTGTCCGGCCTATGAGGCGGCCCGCCGCCGCCGCTGGGGTGTCGACCCTCGCCTGGTCGACGTCCTCGGCGGCCCGGCGGCGAGGGTCGTCGACTTCATCGAGGGTGTCGGGCGGACCGAGCCGCCGCTCGACCCGCCTGCGCCGCCGCCCCCCTGAGCGGGCTGGCGGCGGGATGCAGGAGAAGAAGAAGAAGGTAGGTATGGAAGACCTTGTTGAACGTCGCCGAGCGTCGTTAAGTAGGTAGTAGTGCAGTGGGTCCCTGCCCACTGCGGTATCGAGGGGAATGAGAGCGCGGATGACCTGGCGAAACAATCGGCCGCCCTGCCCTCAACGCCCGCTCCTGGCCAGGGCGGTTAATTGTGCGGCCTCGCATCAATGGCGCGACAACTGGTGCGAGTCACTATTCAAGCCACTCCTCGGGAGCACGCCGCCGCTCCCTATCCCCGGAGAGGACCGAGAGGACGCCGTTTCGGTGCACCGGCAGATGGGGGCGGGCCACTGAAGCCGCTAGGTCCAGTACGTGCACCGAATCGGCTGTCTCCACTCCGCGGCGTGCCAGCAGTGCCCAGACAAGCGGTGCCTCGCGACGGTTCTGCGCCGTGTGCCGAGAAGAGGCTGATGTCCTGGAGCACGTGCTGCTCCACTGCCCGGCTCTCGCTGGCACCTGCCAGTCTCAAACACACCGCTCCGCCGATTTTTGTGGCCCCGGGACTTAGACCCCGCCCGCGGCCCTGGCCCTATTTCACGGCATTACGCTACAGTGTGCTAGTCGCTAAGCATATTGAGGTATTGGTGTTGCCAATACCACGGCGAACATCAATTCCATTACATGGATTCCATGGACATTTCCACAAAAAAAAAAACATAGAACCATCAATTAATTCAGACGCTCAACCCATGAACGCTCTGTCTGGTTGATTTACCCTTCGTTGGTAATGCTTCATGTAGAATTGGCATAATTTTGGCACAAAAAGACACCCAACTTTCAGCGCAAATCATGCAAAAGTTTCAGCGCAAAATCGCTTGCGCCGAATTTCGGCGCATGAGGGTCTCACGGTCGTCCGGCGTAGTGTGTGGGTGTGTTCCAATCTGGTTTGGGTGTTTTGTGCTGACCTTGAGCATGACAAAATGTTGTGGTTTTGTGGCATGAGAAGGGATAACACCTTATGTAAGTTCGAAAGTTTTTGAGTTTGTTTAAACTGCACCGTTAAATGCAGTTCAACCATATAACCTAATCTCATACCTCATGACAAGCCTACCACAGTCCACACTCACAGGCCACAGCCTACCAGAGCAATCCAGGATGTTTCCTTCCAGAGCAGCCCAGGATAGAAGTAATTCTAACCTAACCTAACACCAGTAAAACGCCTCTTGGGCGAAGAACGAGCGAGCGAGATAGCCCTGCACGTGCGGAAGGGCGAGAGGGTGCTTCCAACGGGCTTGCGCAAAGCACCCTTCTAACCGGTCGCTAGCGGTGTGCCAAATTTGAACGCAATCGGCCCAGCCGTTCCTGAGATCTGGAAGCGGCATTCTGCACGTGCGCACGTGCAACGGGGTCCAAAATGACTTTTGCACGGCACCCTACTAACCGGTCCCCAACCCTGTACCAAATTTGAGCGCAATCGGCCCAGCCGTTCTCGAGATCTGGAAACGCCCCCTGCACGTGCGCACGTGCAGTAGCACCCTAACCGCAACACATAGGAATGCATTGCCTGGTGGGTGCCTACCTGTGTGCCAAGTTTCAGCGAAATCGCCCCAGTAATTACCGAGTTACTGAAATGGGAACAAATTTGGCACCTCTTATTGTTGTATTTTGCACGTGCACTGCGGGTGACCCACATGCATCGAGAGTACCCTATTTTGGGTAGAAGGGATGCTGCTACCCTACAAAAATTACCGCAAGTCAATCGCCCAAGCGGCTGCTGAGATATGAGCCTCTCAAAATCACTACTTTTGCAAAACAGCTTGAACACCCTTGACTTTTCACGTGGCACGTGCCACGACGGTCATTGAGATGTATCAAAAGTAGTCAATTACGGGGTAGAAGGGATGGGGCTACCCATCAAAAAAGACCGCAGGCCAATCGGTCCAGCAGTTGCTGAGATATAAGCCTCTCAAAAGCGTTACAGGCCGGGCCGGGCCGGGCCGGGCCGCTCATACTGAGATTTTTCCGTTATATTGAAAAGACTCACTTCGCTCGCTGCGCTCGCTCGCTCGTAATAACCTAACCTAGGATATTCGCCAACCAGAACTACCTAAGATGTATGCCGACCAGTCAAAAACCATAGTTAAAGGGACCCTCCCACCTTCAAAAAAGTTAATGAATTGGCATAAAAGTGATGTCGCTCGGTTCAGAAAGAGCGAAAACGAATATCTACCAAATTTCATCGAAAAATATTCTCCGGTTTTCAAGATATTAGACTTTTACTTTTGTTTACTTTTTGGGATCTCCGCTGTTCCTAGCGACTTTATTTGAAAGTGCGGCATTTGTTGCGCGCAAAGCAGCATATACCACCGCGTGCTACAAAACGTTTTAGTCAAACTTAATGAAGGACGTTCGAAAGCCTGATGACGTCATCAGATTCCCGTAATGGAATCTGATCGTAATGGAATCAGATTCCCGATAGGGACCACGCTGGTCCCACCCTGCAAGTAAAGGGAAGAAATTTCTTGAACACCATAAAGCTGCGGGGGTTGCGACCAGGATAAATGGTGGTTTCTGAGCCTGGCCGCAAACTTGGCTATCTCAACTCAAAACTAATGTTAAGGTGGGAGGGTCCCTTTAAAACATAAAATCAGTCAAAAACTGCATCAAAGTTACTATGTACCTATTTCAATTTTCAAATAGGTACGGCTCTCGCGAGATTAAGCGGTAGGTTTTGCACTTTTACATTTCCGGTTATATCTCAGTAACTTATCGATCTACGACGAAGCTATTTTACACGATCATGGCCGGCTTGTTACCTTGTTAGTCGATGGCATCTTCAACCTTAAAAGCTTAAGACGACGAAGATGTAGCCTGAAGTACACTAAATTTTCTAGGTGCAAAACCTACCGCTAAAACCCGCGAGACCTGTACTTTGGTCACCAGTGATGACATCAATGTGTCTGAGCTTTGTGGGTAATCTCACGCAAATGCTATATGCAAAATGTGTATGGGCCCCAACAATATACCAAACTTTGAGCATGTACAACAGGAAGCTGTTGGTGATGCCTGCTCCACCATAATGGCCAACTTATTCAAGGGTATATGGAGAGTAAAAAAACATCACTGCTTTTTTGCTCCCTGTCAATGAAGCATTGAAGTAGGTACAAAAATTTTTCTTCATTCTGGTTCCTAGTATGTGGTTCTAAATGATTTGTGATCTGTGTATGGTGTCACAACACTTCATTCCTGTCTTTTAATTTGAAACTGATGAACATTTACTGGATTTCAGTGGTCCCAGAATGCCCACGACATTCTACGGGATTAACCTGAGACAGGCTGAGGGTCTCCAAAGGCCTGATGGTAAGTTCTGGCCATTCACTGCCACCTATAATGGGAGTGTGAAACCCCTACTGAATTTCATCATGGCAGTCTGTCAAAGAATATAATACCTATGCCCTTAACTGGGTAAATGGAATGTTCATGTAATTAAAGGCTGCTGTACCCCTTTCAGAGGTTGCCAACTTGTTTTTACGCTAGCCAGACACATTTACTTTATAGCCTGTAACTTGTAGTTGTATTCAAGATTGTGCGGTTTGATAGCTGCTCAGGTTCATGAGCACAGTGCTCAGGAGTAAAACTATTTCTATATCCCACGATGCCAGCCGGGCACATTCACAAACGAATATTTCTGTGGACGGATATTTGCTGACGAACTGTATGCTGACATTTGTGTGCAAGCGAGCATTTCCGAATGCTAATAACTACGGACGAAGTTTGGCGAAATACAACTGTCGCTATGGAGGATCTGTGACTCGAGTTTTCTGACTCGATCTGCTTTGTTTTGCAGGTGTTCCTCTGTACTGCACCTCCATCCAGGAGGTGCAGGCCGTCATGAAGGCGAACAAGACGGCCCGCTTCAAGTCGTTCAGCAGCCAGGCGGAGGCGGAGGCGTTCAGTCGGCTGGCGGCGGACCCCGGCGAGGGAGCCGCCCCGCCGGCCGCACCCTCCCCGTCCGCCGCCGCCGCGGCCACCGGCGCCGGCGGGGAGAAACCTTCACCGTACAAAAATCCCTCCAGACCGGACTTTCAGGTCAGTATCGGACTCGGTGACTTTTATGCTAAAAGAGACTGAATTAACTGGATTTCGCCGATAGTACTACTCAGCGTGGTGGCTAGGTACGGGGGCTAATGTGTATGCAAAGCATTCAGTTGGGTCGGCCCCTAGCATAATGGTACGGCTTTTGCTATATACAGTTTACTGAACCTGTTTTGATAATGTAGACAAAGCATTTGCTTTTTATTTGTTTGTTATGTTAACTGCTGCGCTAGCTTGAAGCCTGAAACATACGATCACTCTTAGTCGCGCTGTTTGACGGTTATCTTGTCTTACGACGATAAAAATGCTTTCTCAGCTGTCTTTTGATATCTGATGACATTTGATTGATCATGAATGTTGAACTACTGGACTGTGATTGTTTATGACGACATCCACGTTCTCCTGAACTCCTCCCGGTCTCTCATGTCAGGAGTTCCGCAAGCTGGTCGAATCCGGCGACGAGCGCGGCGTGGTGGCGGCGGTGGCGCGCAACCCGCGCTACCTGATCAGCAGCGGCGACACGCCGGCCCTGCTGCGTGAAGGGCCGCGCCACAATTCCCTTCATCTGGCAGCACTGCGCGGACGGGACGCCGTGTGTAGGACGCTGCTGGAGCTGGTGGGCGACCCGCGGCTCTTTCAGAGACTGTACCCCGATGATGCGCCCGAGGTGAGTGCTGGGGGATGCGGTGTCAGAGGCTGTACTGAGGACGGGGATGAGGTTGACAACTCACCAAGGAGAGTAGCTATGGCAGGGTTTAGTTGAATTTGGAGACCATTTTGCGATTAAACCATGTGTCTGCGTGGGACAGCGTGAGTAATTAAAATATTGTGTATATGTCTAGACGTGCTGAACCTCGCGCACATGCCTTTTATTGCTGCCGCCCTTCGCCGGCCTCTCCCTCCTTCTCCCTTCCCATGCGCAGCTGAAATATCTGATTCCGTCAGGCGAGTTGTTTTCCACCTGATCAACACCGGCTCACGTTTTCCTTCTCCTGACTGATGACTGGCTCCCCCACGAGAGCACCTCTTCCCTCGGCCGTCTGACTTTCCCCCGTCCCCTGTAACATCTCTCACTCTCCCTCTGACTCACTCCCCACCAAATCACTGACTCCCCTACTGAGTCACTGACTCCCCACCGAGTCACTGACTCAACTACTGAGTCACTGACTCCCCTACTGAGTCACTGACTCCCCTACTGAGTCACTGACTCCCACCGAGTCACTGACTGTAATTAACCCGCGCCCGGCTGGGGGTCCTGGATTTCCACGCCCTGCTGGGGGGGGGGGGTGTTTGAACACCCCCTTGTAACTCGGCTCCTGGGCCACGTAGCGATACGCGGAAGGCGGCGTTCGAAAGAGCGTAAAAAATAATGACGAAATCACTTCGGTCAATTTTTTGGTCAGGTCACCAGAAGTCATTGAAGGCAAAATTTCGCCGATTTCCAGGTCAAATGTCGAAAATTTCCAAGAAGCCAACGCATAACTCGAGAACCAATAAAGCTACAGCGCCGCGGAAAAGCGCATTCGATAGCCCTATTAAAGCCCTTTCTGAGTAATTTCCTCAGATTTGACCAAACGTCAACGGTTTTGCCTGCAGGGGGCAAAAAACTGCAAAAATAGCCGATTTTTTTCGGAAACAGTTTTTCTGCAATAACTTTTGACCCAAGCTTTGTACGAGCTTACTTTTACCGGCATTGTGTTCCTCTCGTCAAGACGCATCGATTGAACTATAAGTTGACCTTGAAAGGTCAACTTGAAAATTTGACCTCAGGTCAAGGTCATGACCTGACCGGAAAGGGTCATGTTGCATATCAGTCGATCCGTATCGTCGAGCTGAACACATCTAAGGCGTTTTCATCGCTCTAGCATGCCTCTATCAAAAGTTATTTGCGAAAAACTGTTAGATACCATTCGTGACCTAAGATGACCTCAGGGCATAAACAAGGGTCACGGACACCATTTTCATGTTCAGTGTGTCTAAACCACTTGTAATTCGGTGTTTGGGAGTGTTTATAATGTCTTTTGTCCAAAAGAGGCGCATTTCAACTTTCTCCCATTGACTTATAATGGGGAGGTCGCAAAATTGACCTGACCTTAGGTCATCGATATCAAAATTCTGAGATATACATTTTGTACATGCTATTGCTCTTAGCAATCGCTGAAAGTTTCAAAGCGATCGGTCACTCGGTGTAGCTATGACAGACATTGAAACTTTTTATGAGGTGAGGTCACTTCAAGTGACCTGGTGACCTGACCTTGAATGACCTTGGTCTGAAATTTTCACAACATGTGTAGAATTGATGTATGATAAGGTGCACCAAAAAGGCGGCGCTCCGCGCCGCCGTTTTTGAGATATTCGCGAAAAACCACAAGGGGGGTGCTCAAACACCCCCCCCCCCCAGCAGGGCGCGGGTTAAAGTAAACCAGTATAACGCCTTATGGGCGACTAACGGAACGAGCGAGAGAGGAGCCTTGCACGTGCGAAATTTCGAGGGGGTACCTCCAGCTGACTTGTGCACGGCACCCTACTAACCAGTCTAGCGATGTGCCAAATTTGAGCACAATCGGCCCAGCCGTTCTCGAGATCTGGAATCGGCACCCTGCACGTGCGCACGTGCAAAATGGGTCCCAACTAACTTTTGCACGGCACCCTACTAACCGGCCCCTAACCATGTGCCAAATTTGAGCGCCATCGGTCCAGCCGTTCTCGAGATCTGGAATCGACCCCTGCACGTGCGCACGTGCAGCAGCACCCCAACTCTGGCACATGGATATGCATTGCCTAGTGGGTGCCTACCTACATGCCAACTTTCAGCGCAATCGGCCAAGTAGTTACCGAGATATTGCAACAATTACAAAAGTGACACCTCTTCGTTTTGCACGTGGCACGTGCATAAGGGGTCAGCCACATGCATCGGCAATAGTCCAATACTTGGTAGAAGGAATGAAGCTACCCTACAAAAATTACCGCGTGTAAATCGGTCAAGTGGTTGCTGAGATATAAGCCTCGCAAAAGCGTGACCACGAAAAAAGCGGCCGGCCGCTCATACTCAGAAAATATTTCCGTTAATCTAAGGAAAGACTACGCTCGCTTCGCTCGCTCCGTAAAAATTTCCCTGACTCCCCTACTGAGTCACTGACTCCTTCCCCTGACCCCTTCCCGCCTGGGTTCACCAGGTGGCGGCCGGCCGGTCCGAGTACATGCTGGACCTGTACCTCAACATGCCGACCAAGGGGACGTTCGAGACACCATTGCACCTGGCCGCCAAACAGGGTCACCTGGAGACGGTCCGCGCGCTGGTGCAGCACCCCGCCTGCAAGCGCGACCTCACCAACAAGTTTGGAGAGACGCCCGAGCAGGCGAGTCAGACGAGAGGCGACAGGTGGTGGGGGAGTCAACGTAGACAGCTAAACCGATCCCCGACCAGTAGATTCTGCTCTGGGGAAGACGCAGGCTACACGGGGAAAATGTTGACTTTCCATGCTCGGCATTCTTCCTTTTAATTAGGTACGACTATATGAAATGGTTCACAAATTATTGGTTTGTTGTTTTTAGAAAAAGATTTTTATTGTGAAAAAAATATTCACCCATGCTTTAGCAATTAATGAAACGATGCAACTATTCATCTCAGATCCGAAGCAAGAACGTTTCGCTTGGCATCTGCTTAAGCATGCATAGCACCTAACCTACATAGCTACATAGCTTGAAAAGAAAATATAACAGCAGGTCATTCTTGAACCCGCTGAACACATCCGAGCGTGCTAGAGCAATTATATGAGATTGAGGCAGACAGCAACAAGCTGTTAGAGATGTTGAAGAGCACCTAGACAATACAAAATTGAAACTGCTATTGATTAGAAAACAGATCTTACTTTGAAATAAAATAGCAAGCTGGTGCGTAATGAAAATAATAAGCTTCGCAGTGTCCTTACACATGAAAATTTGCATGCTGCTGGCAAACCGCCCGGCCAATGCCACCTCTTGCTAAACTACCAAAATAAAAGAACCGCCCTGACAGTTTACAGCCACCTCTGTCGCCATCCCAGCCTCCCCCGTTCACACCCACTTCTGGTCACTTTTGTCACCGCGGCGAGCCCCGCCCTGCCCTCCACCGGAGCCTCCCGGTGTCGCGCCTCCGACCGCCGCCGGCTGGGTGAGCTCATCGCCACCCGACTGCACGCCACTGTAGACCACGCCGGCGACATTGGCCTGGCGCAGCTGCCAGTAGTAGGACAGCACCACCAGCCAGCTGTACCAGGAAGCCGCGCAGACGATCGTCACAGCCACAGACGAGACGCCGAGCACTGCCGAGGCGATCTCCGCGCCACTGATGTAGCGAAACACGATGGCCGATATGAACATGGCCAGGTTTCCGACGGTGATGAGACCGAACAGGATGCCCCTGAAGATCAACCAGGAGAGTAGGTAGGGTCGGCCCGACCGCGGCCGTGTCGCCGAGACGTGCACGCCGTACATGAGCAGAATGTCGAACAGAAGCTGGATGGCAACGAAGACAGTCAGCGGTGCCAGCGCCTCCACACCGGGTAAGTAGTCGCGATAATAGGAAGTTCTGTACGAGTTGAAATTCGCCCTCTCCGCGTCCGCCCAGCCCCAGCCGGAGAGGACGGATAGCGTCTCCAGCAGGCTCAGCACCAGGTAGACAGTGGCCACGGCGAGCGCGCCGTGTCGCAGGCTGCAGCAGCAGCAGCCTCGCAGCAGCGACGCCATCGTACCTGGGAGACTCTTCGACGGAGGCGGCTGCACACTCCGGCGGGCGTCTGTGGCCCCTCGGCCGGCCGGGTGGTCGTCGGGCCGCGGTCAGTCCGCTTCAGCTGTTAGCGGGAGTTCTCCACTGTCCAGTGGCTGTTCGGAGTGGTGCGAGACCACCCCAGATCACCAGAGATATCTTCAGAGGTCCACCAGCGCGGCGCTCCTCCGGACCGTGCCGACACACTGTTCGCTGCCGGGGTCGGACGGGCCGGCCCGGCCCGGCCTGGTTTGGATAGCTGGGGCATTCCACGATAGATCGTACCACTTTTTCCAATTTGACACCCTCATCTCTCGGAATTTGACGAGAATTGGTCTCAGGGGTAATCAGGGGCTCTGAATCCACCTGTAACAATTTCAGGCTTATCAGATAAGTATTTTTTGAGTTATGGTGTATAACATTTTTTGGATCTTGCTTTGCAGCGCTAAGTTTGGCGGGCTGTAACTCTAAGACGGATTATTCAAATGCCAAATGTTATATAACATTGAACTTGCAATGAAACAGAGATTAATATGTATTTTTGAAATTTCGAAAAATACGCTGTTTTTGATATATGACATATCGAGTTTTCTTTCATTTGTATTTTTTGGACTTTGGGACCAAATTTTTTTGAATTTTTATTTCTTTGAAAAAATATTTGACTCATTGTTAAGAAGTATGCAAAAAATTAGGAAGGTGTTCTTTCTATAAATGTATTTATTTTACGTCACGATAACGGTTTCGAATAGTGATTTCGGGAGGGGAGCTTACAAATGGCGTGGTAAAGCTGCCTAGTGACATCACGGGTTACTGAAATTTCAATTCAAGTCTGAGTCATCTGAAAAAAGTGAAAAGAGGGTTCATTCAACCCTCTTTCCTATAAGCGCGAGGGTGAAAAAGGCTGTTTGGTTCTGACATTGTTTTGGACGCCAATGACCATAGCTGTCCGAGATAAAAGCTACAGGACGCATACATGGTGTCCTCCAGAGGTCTCACAACTTGTATATCTGGGAATTTTTCAAGGTTACATGAGGTCAGGTCGGTCACGTGACATCACTGTTATAAATCAATGGGGAAATATAAAAACTGTTATTTTGGCGCCGAGAATGATCTAAAACTATCCCACGTACATGGTGTCGTGATTTCATGCACTCCTTGCAAAGTCCAATGCTTTACTTTTGCATTGTTAACCTTGCGTGACGTCATTTATGACGTCACTAGGGGCGTACGAGTTTTTCGTCAATAACTCCCGATCAAATGGAGCTAGAGAGTCGGGAAAGCCACCAATGGACTCGGGAAGACCTTCCGAATCGAATGATATGCCATATGATACCCTTTGCCCAGCTTCGTGACCTGAGGGGCTCTGACCTGACCTTGACCCGAGGTCAACTACTTAAGTTGACCTCACCCTAGCAAAAAGTATACCATTCGATGCACCTGAACTAGGCGAACACAATGATGCCAAAATCGCGGCTCTGCGGCCATTTTTTGCGAAGTTATTTACTAAAAACCGAACCCGTAACTTCAGTCACGTGACCTGACCTCAGACGCTACCGGTTAACCTGAGACCTTAAAATCGGGTATCAATCGCTGCGACTTGTAACGGCACACACGCTCGTTTTTTCCGCGAGGCTCTAGCTCTATTAGAAGCGAAACGGCGTGCTGGGGTCGTATCAACCCCTCCGAAACCCATTTTGTTTGCGGGAAAATGAGGAACTTATAGAAAGAACACCTTTCTAATTTTTTGCATGTCGATTTGCAATGACATGAAGAATATTTTAAAAAAATAAAAATGTGAAAAATTTTGGTTCCAAAAGACATTAGAGGCAAATGAAAAAAGATTAAGGTTTTTGCTCAACAATGAAATTTTTTCTTTGAAATTTTTAAATAGTAATATTAATTTTTGATTCATCGCAAGCTTAGTGTTGTTTACTTTTTGTTGGTTGCTTAACCCGTTCTTGAGTTATAGGCCATCAAACTCACCGTTACATACCGAAGTTAAAAAAATGTAATGCAATATAACTCAAAAAGTTTTGATCTGAGAAGTCTGATATTTTGCCAGGCGTCTTTGGGGCCTATGATTACCCCTAGGACCGATTTTCATTAAAATCTGAGAGATGAGGGTGACGGGCCTGGTACGATCTATCGTGGAATGCCCCAGCTGCTGAGTGCTGAGCACAGCGTCTCCCCAAGGGGGGAAGGGTGCAGCCGCACCACGTGCCACGGGCGACTCCAGTGAGTGCAAACCGGAAGGCGAGCTGCTCACTGCCCTATCATGGCAGATGCATACTATTAAGTCCCATTCAAAGAACATTTAACGTCGAAACGGTGAGCAATAAGAAAGCAGCATTACTCGCTACAATAAATTCAGTCTGAGAAAGTTTGGTGACGAAAGCTAACGTGTAGCTAGCGAGCGCTTTGATGTTAGTTACATAGCCCATGCAATGGACGCCACAGCTCAAGGCCAAAGCCAGCACGGAACCAAAGTCCATGGCTGGCTGCTGCCTGGGGCGCGGCTGGGTGGGGCGCGGTCGGAGTGGGGGGGGGGGGGGGCGCGGTCGGAAGTGGGGGGAGGGGGACGCTATCACTGCGTCGGGCGTCGGGCGCCGGGCGCCGGTCTGTAGCTACAGTCAACACGGCTGGTGCAGGCCGCAGGGGGCCGTCTCAGGGGTGCACCCTCTCCGCGCAGCTCATGTTTGGGGTGGGTGGAAATTATCCGAGCTGTGCGTGGACTTCGCCCTGGGATGTAGGAGCTGTTTTCTGGTGGTAGCGCCATCGGCTGACACATTGAGTTACTATGTGGGTCAAATGGCTCATGGGTGTCCAATATTGGCGTTGAAGTATGCATCATTTGCTGTCTCGTCATTATTCAGGGTAATCAAATCAAGGAGGCAGATCTATTTTAACTCGCGCCCCGCTGAGGGTCTTGGATTTTCACGCCCTGCTGGGGGGAGGGGGGGGGTCATTGAACACCCCCCTTCTAACTTGGCTCCTGGGCCACATAGCGAAAGAGCGTCGAAAATAATGGCGAAATTACCTCGGTCAGTTCAAAGGCTAGGTCACCAGAAGTCATTGAAGGCCAAATTTCGCCGATTTTCAGGTCGAATGTCGACAATTTTCGAGAACCTGACGCACAACCCGGGAACCAGTAAAGATACAGCGCCGCGGAGAAGCGCATATTTTGATAGCCGTATTAACTCTTTTTCTGAGTGTTTCTATCAGATTTGCCCTAACGTCAACGGTTTTGCCTGCGGGGGCAGAAACTGCCAAAATGACGATTTTTTCTGCAACAACTTTTGACTCGAGCCTTACACGAGCTTGCTTTTACCGGCATCGTATTCCTCTCGTCAAGACGCATCGAATGAACTGTAATTTGATCTAGAAAGGTCAACTTAAAACTTTAACCTCAGGCTCAAGCCTCAAGGTCATGAGCGGCTGACGGGAAAGGGTCATGTTAGGTACATATCAGTCGATCCGTAACGTCTAGCCGAACACATCTAAGGCGTTTTCATCGCTCTACCATGCCTCTATCAAAAGTTATTCGCGAAAAACTGTTAGCACGTGGCCTGCTATGACCTCAGGGGCATAAACAGGGGTCATCATGGGTGCCATTTTCATGTTCAGTGTTTCATAGTTACTTGTTATTCAGGGTTTGAGAGTGTTTAGAATGACTCCCGCCCAAAAGAGGCGCCCTTCAGTTTTCTCCCATTTATTTATAATTGGGAGGTCGCAAAATTGATGTGACCATAGGTCACCGATGGCAGAATTCCGAGATATACCTACATTTTGTAGTTTGTACATGCTGTTGCTCTTATCAAAAGCTGAAAGTTTCCAAGCGTTCGGCCATTCGGTGTAGCTATGGCAGACATTGAAACTTTTTATGAGGAGAGGTCACTTCAAGTGACCTGGTGACCTGACCATGAATGACTTAGCAATTTTGTTTTTCTCCAGGTCACATAAGGTCAAATAACCAGCTCAACTTAACCCTCGCCCGCACATGCCATTTTCCCATCCTAGAACGCACATGGGGGGGGGGGGTTGCCACCCCCCGCGCCATTTCGTTTCTGTTGGAGATAGAGCTTAGCGGTAAGACCTAAAAAGATTCTTTGCGAAGAGACGAATCCAATGCTACCCAGTTTTACCTTCTCAGGTCAGTCATTGACCTTCCAGGTCAGGTCAAACTAAAAAATATTGCTGTTTTGAGTCACCGTTTGATATCAAGTGCGCTGCTCATCATATACCGATGACGATGCCGTTTTCTGGTGCCAAGCCAGCTAGAACCTCTTTGTCACACTACCCGACCAGGTTTTTGCTGCTGAGGTCATTTCAAGTCAAGTTAGGTCAAGGTCAATGATATGTGTTTGTATGTCTGTGTGTGTCTGTGTGTATACTGATGTGTGCACCGATTGTTTATGTGTCTATATTACATGAAATCATGACCTGAGAAGCTTTTACCAAAAATGCAGTCAAAAAAACTCACAAAAAGTAAATTCCGCTTGCCTAAAACGCAATTATCTTAGATGACCTAGGTTGACCTTGACCCTGACCTTGACATCTGTACATCGTCGAACAACATGTTCCATGATAGGTGGGAGGTAAGACTGGCAAAAAAGGCCGAAATCAAGGTGTCAAAAGCTCACAAGGCCCATGCCAACGCAAGATGTTGAGAATTGGCCATTTGGGTCATGACATGACCTGAAAAACAAGGTCATATCTCCGAAACCGAAAACCACAGAAGCTTGAAATTTTCAGTGGACATCAAGAAAGGATAGAGGAGCAGCTATACGAAAAATCAGCCTTCTATATAGCTCTAAAAATGTTGAGTGCAGAGCAGAAAGACTACCTGGGGGGGGGGTGGCACCCCCCCCCCCCCCCATGTGCGGGCGAGGGTTAATAAGAGACCGAGACTGAGTTTCCAAAGCTATCGCGTATTGAAAGTTATCGCATTTGCACTAAATGGATGCTTGCCTCTGCGGTTTTTCTGGTCCAGACTTCGCCGAGGTCTGCGTTCATGAGTAGCAGGCTGGACGTTTTTGGTGGTATGTGCATTGGCACTGTATGTTTAACTGTACAGTCTGTCTTAAAAGTACCGCGCAAAGTAACGGTGGATCCATCAAGCCTGACCGAGGAAGGGTCTGCTATAATTTGAAACTCACCGAACCAATTGACCTGGGGAATGGACGAGGATGTCAATTGCTTCGGTGACTCAAATTTAGCAGGCCCTTCCTCGGTCAAGATCCACCGGTACTTTGCGCGGTACTTTTAAGACAGACTGTGCACCTGACAAAACATATGGCGACACTGCTTCTTCCGACACCCTGCTTCTGGAAGTCTCCCTGAAAATCATCTGTTGACGGCGTCTTCTTTTCACCCGCTCAGCCACTGAGACTGACACATTACCCAACAATGACCAACAATGCCCTCTCGCTGACCCCCCCCCCCCCCTCCGTGCCCCAGGTGGCCTGTCAGCAGTACTCGGGACCAGACAAGGACGGACTGCGGCGGCAGATGGGCTTCCTGCTGCAGGAGCCCTTCTATGTACAGGTACAGTGACACGAAATGTGTCTGTCGGGCTGTGACATGAAAATTGGTATAAAAAATGTCTTGCAAGTATCTTAGTTCTTATAACAAAATTCATTCAGGGACAGAAATATTATGTCTGACGATGAGCGTGGCCTGCTGGTGGTTACTGGTTTCCCTTTCAACTTTTTTCCGTAGTTGTTCGCCATAATTTCTCCAATTTACGGTAACTTTCCTTAATTGACCGCCAAAACACTGCGAAGCAACCTCCACAACCTTTTGACGTGCCCTTCTTCCACTGCTTCTTTCCTTCTTCGACGACCGTATTTCCACTGCTGGGCGCCGATAACCACTGTAGTCCGGGCGCCCAAAAACCCCAATTCATCATCATCATCATCACTCTTTCCACTACTCGAACACATCCTCCCAGTCAGAGGCTGAGTCTCGTTTCCCTCCCCCTCTCTCTTTTCGTCCAGGTGCTGGCTGAGGCGGACGGCTCGGGTGCGCCGGTGCTGGCTCCGCCGTGTTCGCCACATCAGCAGCGACAGAGGGGTAGCAGCGCGCCGGGGACGCCCGGCACACCGCAGTCGCCGCTACTGGTGAGAAACAGGGGGGGGGGGGTCCGACAGAGGGGTAACAGTGCGCCGGGGACGCCCAGTACACCGCAGTCGCCGCTACTGGTGAGAAACTGTGTATAGGGGGGGGGGGGGGGATAAGGAAAGAGAGGGAGGGAAGGCAGCGACAGAGGAGTAACCACGCCCGGGAACCCCGGGTTCGCCGTTAGCCTCGAAACACTTACGCTGCACTATTAGCGCTACAAGTACGGCAACTGCACTACCGATATTATTAACACTGAAATTTGAAGCCGATAAAACTGCATTTTTCAGTTTAGGTAAATCAGGAGAAATGTCCCCACGTCTTTTGGCAACACGTGGGAGCAATGAATGCCTCACTCGCGTCTTACTGGCGTATATCCATAACATCAGTTACAAGGAGGGGGGGGGGGGATATTCTGAGCCCAGTCCAATATAAATCTAGTTTGTAAAAAACATCCCAATATTTTAATGTTTTCTATTCTATTTTCATGTTCAAATCCATAGCAGCTTTTTTTGGAAAAGTATAAAGGGTGCGCATGATGTTCCGTAGATTATGCAATTCAACCTATGCGTAGTGACGCACTGTACTCGACTTTCGTTGTGATTTGTGAACATGGGCAGTGTTTACTGTACCGCTGTCAGGTAGAGAATTGGTTAGAGGCTATAGGATAGAGGTAAAAACTCTCAGATAAAGAGGACATAGCAAAGATGCAGCGTTCTTCACCATAAAACACCGTCTATTCACGTGTAGTCAGCGCGCCCTAAAGCCCCAATAAACAAACAAACAAAATTGTCTATTCGCTGTAACAGTGAACGGAGGACAGTTTCCCACGCCACGTGGTGTTGGGCAGTAGGCACCGCCCCGGCCCGCCGCTGCGCTCCGACTTCGGAGACTGCAACGCCTGACACCTTCGATACGGACAAACTCCCAAGCGTCTGCGTGACATTAAGATGTTATTACGAGCGAGCGAAGCGACCGAAGTCTTCCGTAGAATCGCTTACATTTCTGAGTATGAGCGTGGTCACTCTTTTGCGAAGCTAATATCTCCACACTGAGCCGATTTACATGCGGTAATTTGTTTGTAGGGTAGCTTCATTCCTTCTACCAAGTATTTGACTATTCCCGATGCATGTGGGTGACCCCTTATGCACGTGCCACGTGCAACTCGAAGAAATCTCAGTTTTGTAACAATTGCAATATATCGGTAATTACTGGGCCGATTGCGCTGAAACTTGGCATGTAGGTAGGGCCCCACCAGGCAATGCATTCCCATGTGTCACTGTTGAGTGTTGGGGTGCTGCTGCACGTGCGCACGTGCATAGGTCGCTCCCAGATCTAAAAAAAGACTGAACCGATTGCGCTTAAATTTGGTACACGGTTAGGGACCGGTTAGTGGGGTGCCGTGCAAAAGTCAGTTGGGACCCATTTTGCACGTGCGCACGTGCAGGGTGCCGCTTCCAGATCTCGAGAATGGGTGGGCCGATTGTGCTCAAATTTGGCACATCGCTGGGGACCGGTTAGCAGGGTGCCGGCTGCCGGGCTTAAGTCAGTTGAAAATACCCCCTCCCAGTTCCGCACGTGCAGGGCTCACCCTCTCGCTCGCTCGTTTGTCGCCCCAAAAGGCGTGGTACTGGTGTTATGAGGCTGAAATTTTTCTGGTAATGTTTTCTCACCAATACGGATAATCTGCGGGGTTTTGCATTATAATATGAAAACCTTTGATTTTTTAACTCATCCTAACGTACATACTCGTACATACAAGCATACATACATACATACATACATACATACACAAACCTCACTAATCGGTAGCACTGGCACATCACTTTTAGTGATCTTACCATCCTTCGGTCACTCAGCTCTCACCGAGATGCTCCAAGACCGCCACAAAACCTCAACGAGTGTCGTAAGATGTGTAAACGCCAGATAAATGCAACGTGGTTTTGACATGTTTCGGCCCACCGTGTCATTGACGCTCACAAGAAAAATAGCTACCTCGGGTATACCTTCGCAAACAGCAGAATCATGACAGGAGCTACCAAATGCCGTCAATAGGAAATTTATAGTTATGAGGTTTGCACCAGGCTCCGGCTGGGGCCGGGACAGTGCAGATAGAGCGTCCGGCCGCTGCCGCCGGGGCCGCCAAGGTGACCCCTGTCCGTCTGAACCAACAAACGCCCTTCCCTGCGGCCCGATGCTGCGAGACGTCAGCACACGTTTGATATCAAAGTAAGCACGGCCACAACTGTGCTCGTTTTGTTTGGTGGGCACGACCGTTCGGTTCCAGATCATTCAGGGGAGAGGGGATGGGGAGACATTGGGCTGGCGGACCACCGACGGTGCGTCGCAGTGGCGGGGACCACCCGGTGGGACAGACCACCCACCCACTCAAACGGCCAGTCCGGGGGGCATATACCCCTAGTGGAGTACCCGAAACGGCCGGTTATCGAGTGGCGTGGCCGTGCACACAAACAGTGTGAGCTGTGAACAGGAAAGATGGACAGGTGCTGACGATAGGGAGTGTGGGAATGAAGCAGAGATAACGCTGTTGGAGTCTTTTCCATATTTCATAACCCATTCGATCTGCTTCCCATGTATGACCTCTTCCTTTGATAATTCTCAAGGCATGAGGTAACGTGATGATGGAGCCCAACTCAAGTGACTTCCATAAAAAGATAAAAAATGAATTCGAGATTAACCCTCGCACTTATGGGGAGGGAAGGGGTGGAACGGCGCGGTAAGTAATGTGCACTCTCTGATGTCGTGCTTACGCCTTGGTTTTCACTCAGATTCAAACGGTTTGCGAGTTTACAAAACCCATATTCCAATGCTCGTGCGTCGTGTTTTCGACTCTGATTCTGCTGATCTGTGTTACACTAGTTTTGATTTAGTATGGTCATCAATTATCTTTTCGTGTTGCCTTCCGTTCAGTCTGTTGTATTCAAAGGTTTTGTCGATTCTGCTCGAGTTCGTGACCGAGGAATATTTCAAGACTGAAACGGAGTCAATGTAGAGATGCCGCCAGCTTTCCTCAATTGACAACGGCACCCACTGTACACAAAAACGGGCTAATGAATGTTGCTAGCATGAGCAGCAATGACATCCCTGCAACAGAGTGGTCAGGAGCCAATGTCAATGTTTATCGCTGAGTCTGTCGGTCACGGGACCGGGCCGCGTCACCGGATGTGGCGCCTCTGGCAGAGGTCAGCCGCACCGAGCTCTGCAGACGTCCTGCCAGCTCCGAGCCGTCAGTCCGAGGGCGGCAGCCGAGGACGGTGGATCACATACTGTCTCAGTGTCCGTGTCACCATGTCGGCCCTCAGCAGCCGGCTGGCGACGCTCCTGACTTTGGCCGTGCTCATCGTGACGGCCGGCTGTGACGGTGGCCAGTCCATCCCCCTGGATGAATACGTACATCAGTTGGTGCGTGATGAGCTACAGTCCATCGTCAGCACGCTGCAGTCAGGAACGGAACGTCTGGAGAACAGGCTGGAGTCTAAGATGGAGGCTCTGGAGCGCAGAATGGAGGAGCTGACCGGCCGACTGGACGGCCAGCAGACTCAGCTGGACGAGGTCATCACACAGCTGAACAGCCGAAAATCTCAGCAGGACGAGACGACAGTCACAGTGAACGACCACACAGAACGACTGAGTGATATCGTCATCAACATGGAAAAACACGTGAGTGAAATGCGGAAATTGGCTACGAGGCTCGACAGCCAGCAGTCACAACTGAACGAGCAAAAATCACAAAAGGAGGAAACTGCAGCCACAGTGAATAACGTCACAGCGCAACTGGATACCATCGTTACACAGCAAGGAGATCATCTCAACCAGACGTCTCAACTGGCTACAAGGATCAACAGCCAGCAATCACAACTGAGCGAGCTCAACACCCAGCTGAACGAACAAAAAACGACTCAGCGTGAAGTTTCAGTCAGAATGGATAACCTGACCTCCCAGGTTGACATTCTAGGATCCAAGCTGACCGGAGCCATCAACAACACATCATCCCAACAGGAGCGTATTGATGACCTCGCTGCTATGGTAAACCATCTTTACCTTCCCCGTGACTGCAGCGACCTGCCTGACGACTCCCCGTCTGGAGTCTACCTCCTTCGGCCCAGTGGTAACATCAGACAACCACCCGTCGAGGCCTACTGCGACATGGCCACTGCCGGAGGGAACTGGACGGTGATACAACGACGAGACGATATCAAGCCCCACCAGGACTTCTACCTGGGATGGACCGACTACAAGGAGGGCTTTGGTAATGTTACCAAAGAATTCTGGTGGGGCTTAGAACACGTTTATCAGCTGACGTCATCAGACCGACAGTTCGAACTCCGTATTGACCTGGAAGCGTTTGACGGTAATAGATCATACGCTACATACCAACAGTTCCGTATCTCCTCTGAGCTGGATGGGTACAGACTGAGCTATACCGACTACTCGGGACCTGCCGGGGATGGTCTGGTGGATAGCGTCAATGCGAAGTTCTCTACCCGTGACCGTGAACAGGACGGCGACTCTTACATCCACTGTGCACAGTCCTATCAGGGACCCTGGTGGTACGGACGGGCGTGCTGGGGGAGCAGCCTGAACGGACGGTACCGGGACGGCGGTGAATGGGACCGCACTGGAATATGGTGGGAGATGTGGAGGTTAGGGGAGTTACTGAAGAAAACAGATATGAAGATCAGACCAACGTACTAACCTACACACTGAGGACATCACAGTGGTGTAGATACACCGGTGACACGTGTACCGAGCCGCTGCACACTGGTCGGAAACGCCCTCACGAGAGGCCACGGGCGATTCCGGAGTTTCGGATTATTTTTTATATAGATCGATTTGAAATTGATCAAATTATTATACTTAGGCCAAAAAACTAATCCGGGTGACCAAAAATAACTGTAATCAGCCCTCGAAGATGGGGTATCCCAGAACTCGGAAACTGACGCGGAGCAAGAGGTTTCTTGAGCCGGATATTCAGAGTATTATTGCTGATAGACACCAAATTGAAATCCCACATATTATGCATCAAAATGTTCGTTATGAAGTTGCCGACTGGTCAGTGCAAAAATTTTGGTATACCTTTTCCCTAACTAGGATGTACTATAGCTTTTTTATGAAGGCTCTCCTACAGTGATTCTGGAATATAACTGCAAAGTTTAGGTAAGGAAACAACAGGTAGTCCCATCTAGTTCCACTCTGATTTTTTGTGAGATGAAGTAGGATTTAAATTTACACCAGGGCAACATAAAAGCTAACTGCGCATATTTGCGCAAAATTTGCAGGAGCCGCTCTTCCTACCCAACTACCGCCCGCCCCGCTCCAGTTTTGGCTCGGCCGCCGCGCCCGGCTTACGCTGACCTGTGTGGCCTGCACGCATCCATGCGTAGTTGACTGGTCATTAAAAACAGATGCGCTCGAGTTTATGAATTTTGTGAAAAGCGCGTTTTATGTATGCATTTATGTATGTATTGACATCAAAAGCCTTCCACATATTGCGTGGCGATTACGGCTTGCATTTAGAGAGCCTTGCTATTGACAACCATCACTCGGCTGAAGAAAGTGGAAATTGAAACCTTCGTGAATATAAGACGCTGCAAATATAGGGCACCTGTCACTGACGTCGGGTTACCTTGGGCCGTCTTTTTACATTAAATCACAATTCCGGTATTTAACCCTGGCCGGACCGATTGGTTTTCTATATGACCGGGGAGGGTTGGTACAACTCCCTCGCCGTTTCGCCTCTAATTGAGCTAGAGCCTCGCGGAAAAAACA